GTCCTTTCTACTTGGTCTTCTCTGCAGCATGTGTTACTCATTGCACCTGGTCGCTGGAACCTTTCCCAGTAGTCACTGTGTGACACAGCCTCCACAAGTCATCCTCCATCACAGCCAATAACAAGATGCAGAAAAGTAAAAAGCAGCATATTTAAGTGGAACAGTATTTAAGAAATAATAAAGTCTTAAAAAAAAAGAGAGAACATACTCATGGTAAATCTTTCCTAAGGTCAATTCAGGGTGTGTACTTACTTAAACATTCCTCCATTAAATTGAAATTAATAAATTATTTTTTCCTCAATTCAGTAACCTTTATTACTAATACTAATTAAAGTTTGTATGGATTTCTGTTTAAAACATAAAAACTGGCAAAAGAGGAATTTCACTTAATTGACAGAAAAGTTCAATGTAAAATGTTTTAGCTTAAAAAATTGAACTAAATTTTGTTAACTAATCTTCAGCACATTGATTTAATTCGAGCTGTTAGTTAGTCATATTTTGTAGACTGTATTGAACCAGTATAAAATCTGTTATTCATCCTAATAAAAAAAAAAATCCTATGCATGCTGCATTGTTTTGCTACTTTGCCAGAGGAAAGTTTTAATTGGGAAACGGACATGAAACGTTGCACGGTGTTGTAGTAACTCCATCATGAACACTGGAATCTTGTTTCCTCACTTCACTATGGACAGTTCTTCATTGTTAGGCTGCAGAACCAGCTGGCGTGGCCACTTTTGTTAGCGGAACAACCACGTTATTATATTGGCTCTCAGAGCCTCTCCATGAAGCCTCCCGTAATCACAGGCTCCAAAAGCGCACACCATCTGCTTCGGAGCTGTCAACTGTGACACATCAGGGCGGTACATTTTTCTCCTCCATTTTTCATCTTCCAAACATCTAGCGGCAGCAGTACACTGTCATTCGTCTTGCTTTCCCACTCAGCCTCCCAGTTCAAACCGCTCGCGTCTTTTGAGGCTTCTGTGCACTGGAGCTTATGTTACAATTAAATTAAGTGGTGGTGAGGATGTAAACATGTATAACTGGCAGTCTGTGTGGCGTATCTAGCCACATGAGCCCTGTGCACACCTGGAATGAACCACCTCCACAATTTTGAAGTTCTTTGCTGATTCTGCCCTCTGGGTCACTTTGACATACTTCTTACATTTTTTTTTTTTTTTAATCAAAAGAAGCTCATTTTTTCTTCCACAGACAGCTTCTTTCTCGGAAAAGTCTTTCAGACGGATCCCTGTCACTCAAATGTAATATTCAAATGAACTTTTCACACTTTTTTTTTTTTTTAGCCTTTTAGCACAGTGTCTCATGTCCTACTATTAATTACTGTCCGGTCTACCTTTTGAGACTGTTTTTGTGCCATTTTTCTTTTTCTTTCCACATATATAATACCTACTGTGCAATTCTTTTACATCTTTTGTGTCTTTCTGCAAGCTACTTCTGTGATCATGGTGTTTTATCTTTTTTTTTTCCTCTTCTTGCAAAGTCTCTGTGCAGAATTGCACTCTGTATATATTTTTGCATATTCTCACAGAACATTGCTCTCTTTCATGTGTTATACATACAGTAGTCTACTTTAGCGGTTCCTTTGATTTTAGTTATTTTCATCCAGTGCATTTATTTTTAGCAGGCAACCATTTTGTACACTTTTGCAGTTTTTAACAACGCTCAAGAATAAACATTCCTATTAGCTGGAATTTGCATTCATTTTCTGAATTTAATTTTATTTATTGTAGATTAAACTTGGTAGTAGAAAGTTCAGAAGATGGCATAGTTTTAGAAAATGAATATTTAATTTTTAAGAGCTTTTAGTTTGTACGTTTTTGAAAACTAATTTGCACTTTTCTATTAAGAAATATTTCTTTAGAAGGCCAAATGTTGCTGAGCTGCATTTGCAGGCATTTCCAAGTGTCTTTACTTAACTAAATGATGAAATCCACCCACATATGTTTCCTACTAACAGAAAATGTTGCAGATCATGTAAATGTGTTCTCATCAAATATTATATAAAATTTTAATTTCCTTTAAAACATGTATATTTTCATTTTATTACCAGCATTTTTGGATGATTTCACATAGTGAATCAAAAACGGTTTCTGTGTGTGTCATAATTATCTTTAAATATGGTTGTCAGGATACTAAAATGTCCATATTGATACCAGTACTAAAAAATACTCACTACCATGTGGTTCTTAACACCAATAAATAAATAAATAAAACTAATCTATGGCGATTTCTTAACATTCCATAATCAGAACAAAACCAGTAAGAAGGGGATAATTTAATCCTTGTTTATAAAAACAAATGATTAAGAAGTGACGCCTGTTTGGTAAAGCAGTAAACAAGATATCGTTTAATACAAGTGTTAGTTATCCTTTTTGATTTAGTCATGCAGTTATTCTATTTATGGTTTATTATCTTTAATTTTCCACTTTGTAATTCCATTTATCAATTTGCTGTTGATCCATTTCACTATGCTAGAATGAATTTTGTTTAAAACAAACATGGATCTGAGACAGAGAAACCATGTCTTTCACAGTGTAAACAAGGATCTGCTCCAAGCAAAAATATTTCGCAGCAGCCCTGTACAATTTGTCTTTTTGGTAAGTTTGCATCTTTTCTTTAGTGATAAACTGCAGAAACAGGGTGGGCTTCCACAGGTTCCTACGTCTGTTTTGGCCACATTAGCCTTCAGTGCTCTTTCAGAGGAGTAATTGAAGGAGATCCACAGGTTGTTGAACATTTTCCTGTGTTAATTCATTCGACGGCACAACCGGAGCGTTGCATTGTTTGGAACTTTGCTTATCAAAAGCAAACCCCAACTGGGTAGCTCAGATAGACAGAAATTGTTCATTGAGTTGTCCATGTTGGTGACGCTAATATTCAGGAGGATTACTATTTCACTGCTGCAGATACAGGAGCTGACCCTTTAACAGGACCTGTTTATGTTGCTTCAAAATTTGAGGATTAAATTGGCATCACTTCACCCACTGGGGTCTGAACGCACTTCCTCCTGCTTCCCATCTGCAGAAAAATCTGCGCTAATTCGTTAGTTAGCTGGATCTGTCTGATCCAAACAGATCAACTGAACTCTGAGTGGTTTACTCTGTGCGGTCCGGTGTGCGCTTTTACCAGGATTTATTTTTTTATTTTTTTTATTTTTTTTGCGTGGTTTCGCTTCTCAGAAACAGCCAGTTGTTATGTCTGCAGCTCCTCCAGGACACCACTCTCCTGGGTAACGTGCATTAATGAAATTAATTTTAATAGACAGTGTGAGTAGCTGTAGTATGTTGGATCCAAAGAAGAAGCATACACACACACACACACACACTGCTTGGAGTCTCTCATCTTTTTCTTATTCACAAATGCATTTTTCATGATGAAGACCAGTAAGCGAATAATCCACATTCCAAGTTTTATCCTTGTTTTTGTACAGAGCAAATGTTTCAAGCATGAGTCTGGATTTTTCTTTTTCTTTCTTTTTTTTTCTTTTTTCCTTTTCTGGTATAGAATAATTGTAAGTGCGTTGAAAATCTGACCAGTGTCAGAGCGACCTTCTGTTCTTCTACTAGTTTTTCTTTTCATAAAGCAGCAACACAGTCAGAAAAAAAACTTTAAATTCTCAAGTTTAAAGTAGCTTTCTTTCTCCCCCCAATTCCCCCATGTTTCAGTCGTCATACAATAGATATATATTTTTTTCCCTTTTAGTTTCAACAAAGCAAAAAGTGGTTTGGGTCACATCAGATTTGAACGTCTAAAACAACCTTTTGAACAGCAGAGAGATGGGTTCTTGTGTTCCTTATTTTTTTCTGTTCAAGCTGCAACTTTTGCAATGAAGGGCACTTTTTTGATGAGTTCAGACAGGGGTAATTGATTACCATCAGCAATAATAGTTGTGATAGATATCCTGTATTCAGCTGCTGCTGTTCTCGCTTAACAACATTTTGAAATCTAACGGATGACATTCAAAGCCGGCAGATTTATCAGAGTTGTCAGCCATTACTGTTTGATCAAGGTGTTATTTATTCTGCGATGGCAGGAAAAGCTTTGACTCAGCATCCTATTGTTTACTCTGCAAACAACAGACTTTCCATTTGAAGATTGAAACAAGTTATCACTTTTTAAAACAGTTTATTGCATTGAAAAACTGTTTTGCTTTTCAAATTAGTTACAGTGTCTATTCAAAAAGAGATGGAGCAACATATGTACATTTTAAAAAGGCCCAATCGAAGTTGAGAACCAAGTGATTTTTTTTTTTTTACAAAGTAAAATGAATTGATCTTGGACATTAGTAAAGCTTTTAGAGCCATAACTTATAAAGACTTTTAGCTGTGATTGAAGCAACAGTTTTTCTTTTTTTTTTTTTCCTAACCCTATTTTTAAGAGCACTGCAAAATATACCAATTCCAGACTTATTTTACGATTTCTGACTGAAAGAACACCTCTACTTGTTTCTCTCCATGAAGTCCTACTAACCTTCAGCTGATTTTTTTAAGTAGAATGTTTAAAATGTCAGCCTTTAGATGAACAAAGCTGGACATAGCCCCCAAATGTTTTAAAAAAACATGTGTACTTTGTGTTGCAGTTCATAACTGTGTACTTCTTTGTGTTTTCCTGTCACATAAGTTCTTAAAATACACCAAGTTTGTCTCTTTCCTAAAGCCCCCGCATGGTAGTGGCAGCATCATACTATGGGGAGGCTTTTCTTTAGCAGGTCTTGGGAAGTTGTTTAGAGTTGGTGGGAAAGACAGATGGTGATAAATACCACAATTAGCTTGTGTTGGTATTTTACATTAAGTAAAATACATTATTTGTGATTAAAATGTGGCTCTGTGGTTCTAAATACTTTTTACTAGTGACTTTACGTGAATAATGCTAAATTATTTTACTATTACTTGCTGCAGACCTTCATGCATCAGTGATTTTTGTAAAAATACATCCTGTAAATTGAAACGTTTATAATTTCACGCTGTCTTTGTTGTCCTCAGGTGGAAGGAGCAGCATTTACAGGTTCGTTTTTATGGAAGTCTCGTAAACTTGGTTTGTGGAGTCGCCCCCGGGGAGAAAATTTGTTGGACAGCGGAGCTCCCTTCTACGACACGTACAAGACTCTGGATGGAAAATACCTGGCTGTGGGCGCCATAGAAACAGAGTTTTACAACCAGCTGCTTAAGGGTTTGTACTAAAATCACTACTAAGTTTATGCTACAGTCAGGACGAAACGTTTTGGCAGTGACACAAATGTGCTATTCTGTTGATTTATAATTTCTGGATTATATTTTAGCTTGTTTCTGTAGATACTATTTGAAAAACATTCGTATTTATATAAAAAGAAAGCGTGTTTTGTTTTACAGCATTTTTAGACCTTTTTGGGGGACCACAGATTTTCAGTAGGATTAAGAACTTCAGAGTTTCTTGGATCACAGATTTAACATTTCTGTGATCCAGAAATAGATCACATTTCAGAGTCACATTTGATTGTTAAGCATCTGAGAACTGAGCAATAAAATAAAAACAGTATCAATTGTGTATCTTGTCTTGTACCTATCAATGTCTTTCAAAAAGTAATGAGAAATCAGATATTTAAGTTATAATCCCCCAAAAAAGGGCATCTTGCATCACAGAACATGGTGCAAAAGTTTGTCTTAGATTTATCCACCCTTAATTTTGTTGAAGATTTGTTTTAACCCCAGATATTTAATTTGGTGAGTTGCTGACCTTTTGATGTGAGAGTGAGCATCATGGTAAGATGAAAAGAGCCGTCTGATTCAAAAAGAAGATTCTAGCATTTTGAGTCTGGGAAGGGATTTAACGACGTCTCAAAAGGAATATAAAACCAGCCATTCCTCTGTCCAGAAAGTAGTAACAAGAAAAGAACATTCAAAATAATTGCAAGTCGGGAAGCAGACTGTAAAAGACTTGCACAATATTTTTTTTCTTTTTTAGAGAAAACTCAAAAAACATGTCTTGTGAATTGCAATTATTTTGAAACTTGTTTCAAAATATAAGCAACATTTTCTGTAAGCTCAAGAGCTTCTCCATACCTTTCCATTACTGGAAAATAAAAAAGCACTTTCCATGCATTGTGTAAGAATCCTGGCACAAAGGTTGTTTCCCTACAGTGTTATAGTTGTTTTATTTTTTTCTGTGTCCAAATAATTCCGTAAACATTGAAAGATCCTGCTTTCAGATATTCACACTGATCTCACTCAATTTTGCTACTGTAGTCCTGGCTATTTCTCTATTCAGCCTTGTTTATGGAATTGCATCAGTATTTTTTGTTTGTTTGTTTTTGTTTTTCTCTCAGGCTTAGAATTAGACGCTGGAGAGCTGCCTCCTCAGATGAGTTTCAGCGATTGGCCGGAGCTCAAGCAGCTCTTCACAGAGCGCTTCGCCTCAAAGACCCAGGCGGACTGGTTGATGATCTTTGACGGAACCGATGCCTGCGTCACACCTGTGTTGTCTTTGGACCAGGTGAGCTCTCACCCTCACAACCGAGAGAGAGGCTCTTTCATGAAGGACTCCAGCGGGGAGGAGTTCCCCCGGCCAGCTCCGGTTCTGTCTCGGACTCCCGCTGAGCCCTGTCTCGCTTCCGACCCGGCAGTGGGAGAACATACGGTCGAGGTCCTGCTGGACTACGGCTACACTTCAGCAGAGATAGACGAGATGTTGGCAGCCGGCGTTGTGCAGTGCAGTGCTGGCAAGGCAAAGCTGTAGGAGAAGGTATCAGTAGATCTTTGATGGTCAAGCTGAAAAACGGAAAGGGGGAAATTTTATTTTAGTCATTTCAGTGAAGATGAAAAATTAATTATTGTGTGTAAGAGCCACAAAACATTAACAAAAGGCAGGGAAGACTTTTTTTTGCGTTTGAGGCTGAATCTAGGCTGAACTTCCTGAGTAACCTGACATAAACACTCTCACTTGTGAAGCGAGTGTGTCTCGACTTAATGGTGTTAAGGGCTAGGCACTGTTCCCATAGGTTACCTGGATATCTCTTTAGTTTTTTTTTGTTCTATAATTGAAAATAAATATGCTATTCTACAGCTATACCTCACTTTTTATTGCCTCTCTTACCTCACGCCGTCCTGATGGCTGATGTATTACCCAGCGCAGGGTCAAAACATGCCAAAAGAGATTTGTGGGCCCGGCCTGAAAGACCGTAAAGCGGCAACAACACAAATAAATAGAAAAATTTTTTTTTTTTTTCTCTGGTGTTCTCTTTGAGCTTCTAGGTTTGTCATCCTAATGTGTGATGTCCACCTACTCTGTCTGCGTTATGCAGCAGGTCTCGGTATCAGATCCGTTGCAGATTTATTGTCCTCTCAAAACCAATTTAGATACAGCAGATACTGAACTTCTCCACTGAAGTAGGACCATTGTTACAATGGACTGACTGTGCTATAATTAGAAGAATGTATCTGTTTTTTTTTCTGGAGCTGAATTGATTGATTGGATTGATTTTATCAAATGTTTTGATCTGTAATTATTTAAATTTAGAGATGTGTAGTCATTTTATTGTCTGCATCACTTATTTTTTGCTAAAGTCACCAGTTTGTTTAACCTAATTGATTGTTTTTAACTCATTGATGATTCTCATAGAATTACTGTCAATGTTAAAAAAAGGATCTCTTTTTTGTGTTAATTGTTTGACACCAGAAGTTTAAATTTATACAATGGAGAACATCACAAATAAAACAAAAATATATCATTCAAATTGTAGCATTTTGTGGAATTATTTTAGTGATTAATAGCAGAAATATCTACGAATTTTATGAATTTTATGATCTGTCATGGGCAAGCTGTGCAGATACAAATAAAAAAGACTCGTCATCAAAAAGTCTTAAGACACGCCTGTAATGAAAAACAACAGCCATCACGGGCTGAGACCAATAGATGGAGTCAAGGTTTTTCTTGAGAAACTAGGGGAATGTTTTATTTGTAACTTACAGCTCCAGCTTCACATCGGCACTGCATGTTTTTGGACACGAATCCATGCATGAGGCTGCATATCAGTCAAAAAGAAAAGGAAAGAAAAAAGACATTAATCTCAGATCACCTTGGGATTTAACTTCTTTAGTATGTATACTTTAAAATAAGTACATTTATTTATTTAGTTCTTCGAAAGTTCTTTTCAGTAGTTCTTTTGATTGGTTTTTGAACCTGATAGTGTCACCTTGTACTAACTATACTCTACCTGTCACTTTTTGTACCTCAAACTCGTGTGTGTGTGCGTGCGTGTGTGTGTGTGTGTGTATAGAGTTATATAAAACACAGACAGAAGTAACGTAGCACGAGAATTGCACTTACCAGCCATAAAATTATGAGGTTACGTAAATCACAGATGACTAATATGAACAAAGTTCCTGAATAAATGAAAATGGGACAGACATGGTGGTATCTGGTAATGATAGCTGTACAGCAGACAGCAGGTCATAAGAGACCAAATTATGGCTATCGTGCAGTTTTACAATTTCTGCTATATTTTTAACTGCAGCAATGTTTTTTTTTGTGCTTCAGAGAAATGAGCTGCCACAAAGTCAATGAAAAGCAAAGATAACAAAAAGCGATGTTTCTAAGACTTTACAGCAGAAAAAGTTTTTTTCCCCTGCCTTTAATTTAGCGTATGAGTTCTCAGTCAAGAAGTAATACGTAGCAAGATTAGGGATATCTGTAAACTCATGAAGAGTAAAAAATTGTATGTCAATATATTTAAACGCACAAAGCTAAATAAGCAAAATGACTCAAGGCTGCCATAAAATATTAATGAATTACTCCAGGGTGTACATATGTTTTTACTTTTAATTTGCTTGCTTGTTAGCAGCTGTGCAATCCGGTTTGAAATGTAAACACACTGTAAATTGATCGCTGCACAAAACCCACGAGATGGTGAACAGCAGGGCTTAAGCAGGTTTGAACATAAGGAGGGCAGGATGAGTACAGAGTGCTCACTTTGTCATTTTTAACATTTCAATTATTCAAAATGTAATTAAAGTTTAGTTTGAAATTACTTTCATTTCAGCTCCAATTGCTCACTTGTTTCTCTTTTGCTCAGTGAGCTTTTGTCTTTTTCTTTTCTGTATTTTCTTCCCAGTTGATCACCTGTGGAAAAAGAAATTCCCTAGTCGAGGATTTTTGAATTTTTCTTTGGTATACCTTGGAAAGCTATTGTGAAACATAATGTAGACTCACTTTTCCAGCCCTTTGTGTTTTAGATGTACAGGTTGATAAGGACAGCAGTGCGGTGTGAGATCAGAGCTACAGATGGATTCAAAGTTCAAGGTTAGGATTATGTTATGGATGAACTCTAAACCCTTTCCTGTTTAGTGAGTTTCCTGTTAACACGTCATCAGAAGCTGTGCTTTGCTCACAGAAGCAAAAATGTTGTATAAAAAGAAATAACTTGATTTAAAAGTATTACTTTTGTGCCCTTAAAAACAAAATAAATATTAAAATTCAAACAGCATTTCCTCAGAGCTTCACCTGTGTTGACAGAAAACAAGAGATCCTATTTAATATTTGTCCTAAAGACTTCTTCAGTTTTTGCTTTTGTTTTAATGTTACAAAGTCATATAATCAAGCATATGTCGACATCCCACAGAGAGAATGTGAACACAAAAATCTGTTTCATTTTATTAGGGCTTATTCATGAAAAGATTAAACAAGATAATTGCACAATACATTTTAAGTAGAAAAAACAATTTTCTAAATTATTATATCCTTCTATTGTTACTCCTTTGTTTTATTTGTATTACATGTCCACCCACTAGGGGCACTGTTATGCCAGGAGCATATGTTATTGGTTTGTGTTCTTCTTCGGGGCTCTCTGTCTGGCTGTTCGGGAAATGCACATGGCGGAATAAAGTTGAGTAAAGAAACGAGTTATTTTTACTGACTAACATTGGTAGCAGAGGATGGTTAGTAACTACAGAGTTCCGCCAACGTTTGAGGAAGGAAAGCCTTACGAAAGCTGGAAGAATGAAGTCAACATTTGGACGAGAGTTACAGATTTGGAGTCGAAAAAGCAAGCGCTGGCTGTCGCCCTGGCCCTGACTGGAAGAGCGCGGGACACGGCGATGGAAATTCCGGTAGATGATCTAAATAAAGACACTGGAATGACAACGTTGTTCGCTAAACTAGATGACTTGTTCTTAAAAGAGGAAAAGGACAGGATCTATGAAGCATACTCGGATTTTGACCGGATCATAAAAGAAGTTAACATGTCGATGGCGGACTATATTATTGATTTCGAGCAGCGTTACTCGCGGATGAAGAAATACAACATGGAGCTGCCTGACCCAGTTTTGGCTTTTAAGCTTTTGGACACCGCGTGTTTGGATATAACGAACAGACAGTTGGCTTTAACGGCATGCTCAGATGTAACATTTGCTTCAATGAAGTCCGCTTTGAAGAGAATATTTGGCGAAAAAAGAGGTGCGGCAGCAGAAGGCATTAGCCAGGAGTCCGTGTTTGCAACGGAGCAATGGCGGCAAAAAGGCAAGTTCAGGCGGCAGAGTCCCCACCAGAAAACTTCACAGCTCAACACTCCGCAGCCCGGTACAAACCCGCTGGATAAGTACGGACGACGGTCAAAATGTGCAGTGTGCCAAAGTACTTTTCACTGGGTTAAAAACTGTCCGCACAAAGCTGATAGTGTTAAAATTGCTGATGATACAAAAGACGTGGAAGAGTGCAATTTAACTCTGTACACCAAAGAATCACCAACAGATGCAGAAATATTCATGACAGAATGTTTTGGCTCAGCAATAATAGACACTGCTTGCACTAGGACAGTTTGTGGACAAGAGTGGCTGGACAACTATAGTACTGTGTTGCAAAAGAAAAGTGTGAAGACTATGAAAGAGACAGAAACACAAAGTCACAGGCCCTTCAAGTTTGGAGATGGAAAAATCGTCTACTCCATAAAAAAGGTAAAGATACCTGCTAAAATTGGCAACACAAAGTGTAATATAGAAACTGAAGTAGTACCTGCTAACATCCCGCTGCTGCTGAGTAAGACCTCATTGAAAAGGGCAGGGACTGTTTTGGACATGGAAAGGGACAGTGCAGTGATGTTCAACCAGCCTGTCAAACTGGACTTTACTAGTTCAGGTCATTACTGTGTAAACATTGTGGACAGTGAAAATAGAAGTTTCATTCACTCTGATAAGCTATTGCAAGCTAATGAGGAAGAAATACTGACGACAACAGACAAGATGAACACAAGTGAAAAGATGAAAGTTCTGGAGAAACTTCATAAACAGTTTGGACACGCATCTGCTGACAAAATACAGAGACTTTTGACTAATTCTGGCAACAAGGACACAGAATGTGACAGCCTGCTGAAAAACATCGTGAACCAGTGTGAAGTGTGTCAAAAAATATTGTAAGACCAAACCAAAACCTGCTGTCGGCTTACCATTGGCATCTACATACAATGAAACTGTTGCTGTAGATCTGCACGAACTTGAGCCTGGGGTTTGGTACCTACACATTATTGACCAGTTTACCCGTTTCAGTGCTGGTAGTGTCTTAACCACCAAGAGGTCTTCTGAAATAGTCAGACGTTTTATCCATGATTGGATCAGTGTGCATGGCCCACCACAAAAGTTGTTCAGTGACAATGGTGGTGAGTTCAATAACGAGGAAGTGAGAGACATGGCCGAGAACTTTAATATTGAAGTCAAGACAACACCTGCTTACAGTCCATGGAGCAATGGACTGTTAGAGCGCCACAATCAAACTCTGACAGAGATCCTGCTGAAAGTCAAAGCAAGTACTGGATGTGACTGGAGCACTGCCATGGACTGGGCCCTGATGGCAAAGAACTCTATGCAAAGTGTCCATGGATACAGCCCACATCAGCTGGTGTTCGGGCAGAATCCTAACCTGCCTTCTGTATTAATAGACAAAGCTCCAGCTCTAGAGGGCACCACCAAGAGTGAATGGGTTGCCAAGCACATTTCAGCCTTGCATGCTGCAAGAAAAGCTTTTACAGAAGCAGAATGTTCAGAAAGGATACGGAGAGCACTAAAGAAACAGATGCGGCCCATAGACGAGCGATATGAAACTGGAGACAAAGTCTTTTACAAAAGAGTGGATTGTCCAGAATGGAAAGGACCAGGAGTGGTGATTGGTCAAGATGGTGCAGTCGTTTTTGTTAGACACGGAGGCACCTGTGTCAGAGTCCATCAACTCAGATTGAGGAAAGTTACTCACGAGAATGAAGAACCTCAGATTACCTGCGATGAGAAGAACAATCGAGGACAACACACAGTGGACATCATTGAAGAGAATGTAGAAGGAGACACTATTGCAGTAAATCCTGAGAATCATCATTTGCCTGCTCCTGAAAATGCAGAGGCTGAGAGACCGCACTCTGGGAACACCATCATAAAGACAGGTCAAATTGTGACATTCAGAAATGCAGAGGGTGTCTCACAAAAAGCCAAAGTGTTGGGACATGCAGGCAAAGCAACTGGGAAATACAAGAACTGGTTTAACTTGGAGCTGCTTGAGCCAGCAGAAGTGGCTGGCAACAGTGAGTCAGCTGACCTGTCACAGTTGGAGGATCTTCACATCCAGGCAGATGCTGAGGATACAGATATGCACGAGGATGTTTTTGTGAGTAAGGACATATCGTTTGATGAAGCAAAGGAAAATGAAATAAAAAGCTGGAAACAGAACCAAGTGTTTGAGGAAATTGAGGACAAAGGAC